ATTTTACTGATATGTATAAAGACTGCAAAGGCTGAAAAATCTTGAAGTCTGGATGAAATTGGGGGGAGTTTGAGGATGAAATTTTTATGSTTTTTAAGCTCGAAAAAGGGGTGGGGGTCGTATTAAACATGAGATCGTGTTATACACGAATAAATAGGGTAATTTATCGTAATACTTGACCTCTGTGGGCATGCTAAAAGCAAAAAGAATTATTTTTGTAGAAGAAAGACACACTGTCCAGAATATACTACACTGGCTTTGATGACAGCTACAGAAAAAGGCTGTAATAAACCTGCAGTCATTGTAGTGGATATTTCTCACTTTCCTCTTGAATGGTCTGAAAAAACTTGTGATTGCAGTGCTGTCAGACGTTTTCTATCTTTCTCTCTTTTTTGCTACATCGTCATCAATTTWTTTTTTTTTTCTGTGATGTGAGAGAGCACATGTGTGGTATGAAAGAGTGTGAGAACTGAGTTGCATGAAGCTTTGGGAATGGACAACTTCAAATTGTGACTTTATGTTAGTATGCATGCTTTACCTAATAAATGATCACACAGGGATGGCGCTGTTAAACCTCACCACCATTTTCCAAAGTCATTTATAAGGTTTCATTTAGTTTATTTCTCACACAGGTCTCTTTGCAGTTTTGCAAAAAGTGAGCTTGGTTTTATAAAGCTGTGTCACATTAACACATGAAACCCTTCCTGCAGCTCTCGCCATCCCTGCTTCTCTCTAATGTGCCACATGCTTTCACATTGCTGAATTATTATTATTAAATTACAGTGAGAGTTTAGCAAAGAAGATTAATTCTCTGCAGACTGTTTTGCTAATAATAATTCAAACAAATTTGCAGTTTTAATTTTCTTGGCTGCTACGAACAGATAATTGAGAGTTGAAGTTGCTAAAATGTGAAGCTTGGGGGACCTTGATCTTTATTATTAATGCAATTTATTAATTCCTTTCATTTGTAGAATTTAATTTGCAAGAAAAGACAAGTTATTTTGTAAAATCATTTTAATTATAAACACGAACTTGACTAGCTCAGACAAGTTTTTCTTTTCTCTCTTTTTTCATGAGCCAAGTTTATTTTATATTCAGACTCTGCAAAGTTTAATTTTAATCAGATGGGCGCACACACTCAGCTTTCACTTCAGTCTATAAATTATAGGCTTCTAATGCAGCAATTCCAAAGTACTTTATGATGTGCAAGTCATTTTAAAAAGAAAAAGGCAAAAAGTTTTTCAGCTTATGAAAAAAATCATCTTTTTTTACCACATATAATCAATTGCTTGAATCATTACTTTAAGTAAGAATCTTAAATCGTGTTTATAGAAGTGCTATTACTTTCTTCGAAAGGCTCTTCAAGAAACTTTAATAGTGATAACTAGACTTCAGCTTTCACTTACAGATATAAGCTCTATTTAATTCAAAAACCCAATTATGAATGATTAAATCATTGTGACTTACCCCAGATGCTATGAAGTGAAAAATTCGATTAAAATTTTACCAATAAGAGATTTAAAGTTGAACTGAAGTTGTACTTTACTGAAGTTATTTTTTTAATTAAACTTGGCTCATAACTTATGATTAAAAACAATACTAACAAAATATTTTTATTAAATGTTTCACGGACAAAACATAACACAAAACAATCTCACTCTCCTCCTTTTGACTTCCCCTCTTTCCTCTTCTCCATCATGCTCCACTATCTTATCTCTCCATCTTTTCGCCTCATTGGCCATGCTATTTCATTAATCTCCCCAACAGATTGCCTCCATTAATTAACCTACATCTTCCATCTTGCATGTAATAATCAAAGGTAATAGAGATATTAGAACGATATGGATATTTCTGCAGTCACACTCACTTTTAATTAGCATCAAGATTAAAAGATAGACTTGCTTCTGCCTTGCTGACGTCCACAGGCGTCACAAGGTTTTGTTTTGTTTTTTTTCCTTTTTATTGCCACCAAATTGTGACAGGCTGTGGATTTTGAGGCAAATTAAATGTGTCAGTTTGGAAAATATATCTATTCTATCATGCCTCATAGGACACCTCATGGTGGAGGTAATAATGTGTCTAAGCCTCTAGACGAAACAAGTTTTCAACTTGCCGTCTGTGACATTTCAGATTTAAAGCTATACCTCGCAGGCATGTATGGTTTCCTGAGGACTTGTGAAGGTACTTCAGGTCAAATGCATTTCCTTTTCCATTCAAATGTAAATCTGTGTCACAGATTCAATTAGATAATGAGAAATGTATTTATGCTGCATGTCTGTGGATAATTGAAAGGTCCTAGGTGCACTAAACAGACAAAATGAGCAGACGGGTTAATTACTAATGCCGTGTTAAAGAGAGTGTGCTTATGTGTGCATGAGCACACGCATCAAATTCTTCGGCTGAATGTAATTACATACTTGTCTTGAGAACAAAAAGGAAAATAATTCCTGTCACTACTTTTCCCTGCTGACATTTTGGAGTAGATATCTGCTGTAAAGCTGTGATTCCTGAGATGAAAATGTCTTTCAAACAGCTCTATTTGTTCACAGCTGAATGCTGACCTCCGCAGCATCCACCATCCTTGGGCTATGAAACACTTCGCCCTTGTTAACTTTCTGTGGTGCTGCTTTCTTGTGGAATGGACATCATCCAGTTTAATGGTTGACGTTTCAGAACCGCTCCCCGTAGACCAGTTACTCAACCCAGCCCAGTCAGAGCAGGACCTACAGGGAACACATAATGAAGAGAATAGAAAATTGAACGCAGGACCCYAGAGCACATCATTATACTATTTCATTTTACAAAGTAAAGTCAAAAGAAAAACACTCCTGCCAGGTTGTTAAAGGCTCAGCCTCAGAGTTTCCAGTGGTTTGTTCATGTCTCCTTTGTTTTATTGGTTGAGTCTTCCCAGCACTGACAAGTTTTAGGACATTTTGGAAACTTAAAAAAGGAGAATTTTGTTGGAAACACTTTATTTTTGTTAGACTCCAGTTATGTTTACTTCAGAGACTGTAACCTTTACGAAAGAAAACATCACAAGGACTGCAGCTTTCCAAGCTGCAGACAGCAGACTGTAGCTAGAATAAATATACAAACACAATAGCTAAATGTCACATTGTCTTATTTTAGCCGATTTATTTTATAAAATCAATAGAAGCTGAAATTGAGTCAAACAGAATAGTTCTCAGTGCCAACAAAGTAGCAATGCATTTACATGGATTACTAAGGTTTGGTTGTGTAAACAGAAATAAAATGGGTGTGCTGAAATGCTGATGTTTGTACAGAGTATTACAGGACCAAATGCAAAAATGAGCCAAGCACCCCTGAACATACATTTATAAATAATATTAAGGACTAACATATCTTGAAAAAMTGCATTTCACCTGCTGCATTTTATGCCAGAGTTTCAAGCTAAGATCATTTTCTGAGTTTTAACTGTTTTGGTCAACTCTAAATGATGTTATGCATAGTCTCATGTAATATTTCATGATCTTTTATGATCTGTTAAAGCTCTGAGCAAGGCTGGCTCTAGCCAATATGGYACCCCAGACAAAATATCAGGTGGTGCCCTTAGCACAATTTTTTTTAAATCTCACTGCCAATTTACATACATTCACATTCAAAAATAAATAGTTTTGTCTTCAATATTATTTTCTTTTCTTTAGAAACCATGCTGTCCAATCAAAATATTTAACAATAGAATTCCTTTTTAAACAGAAAAGTATACCTCATACTTGTTAACATTTGATGACAGCACACACATCCACAAGCAGCTGTGGATTAAAGCAATTCTAGGTGGTTCCAGGGGCATACACTACCTGAAAATTTTGTAAAAATTGTGCATTTTTCAGCTATTTAAAGAATTTTACTTATTAACCTTTATTTTACCAGGCAAATCCCATTGAAATCACRTCTCTTTGTTGCAACCTATTAGTATTTTACAAAAGCAGAACTCTGAAAACCAGACTTTAACCTAACCTTCATCTGAGATCATAAATTAAACTGCCAGTATCCTTATTCTTAGTCTTGACTGCATCATATGATACTAGGGATGCAAGTTATCGTTTAATGAATTCAGCTAAAGTTGATTTATTTCATCGATCAGCTAACAATTGAGAAACGTCCATTTTCTTTCAAAACTGAAGTTTCTCTTGAATCAAGGGTCTTTCCGTAACATAGGGCTATTTTTTTATAAAGTATACTGAATTTCAAAATAGCACATCATAATATTTTAACAATTTATTGTGCCAGCTGACTGAATAAACCAAAAAAATGGTGAATTTCTCACACGATACTAAACTTGGACATATTTATAAAATATAACAAAGCGGAAATCTATTAGGTTGCTGAATGGAAAGAAAAGTTAACAGTTGATCAAATAGAACAAAGTTTTAGTTAGTAAACCATTATTTGACAATTAATCTTAAGTTGATTGCTTGCATTCCTATAGGTTATGCTTTTATACTTTTTTCGTCCATTATTTGTGGCGCCCCCTAGTTGGATAGCACCCTTAGCATTTGCCTACACTGCCTAGGCCATGATCTGGCCCTGGCTTTGAGTATATGTTGAAGATGACTCAGAAACTATCACATCAAACCTTAGCACAATATATCTTTTTTTGTTGCCATTTTATATTGGGGTGACTCCAAATGTGAATCAGTTTCGATGCACAACCAATGGAAACAACAACAATGTGGCAACGTACAATAGTTGTTTTTTTAGTAAACAAAATACAGAAAGCTGAATGTGAGCTCTGGGCCATGGTTTCCAAAACTGGAGCTAAAATCATCCATAAGAAGATTTTCATGACATAAAGAATCAACATACTGTATTTTGTTCTGAATCTGTCATTCTGCAGAAAAACGATTTCTAAGTTGAGATATTTTTCTGCATTCTACCCCTCACCCACACAAACCTTATAAAGTACACTGACATTTTATTCCACATTCTGCATATTAATAATCATCCGTTTGGGCATGTGTGTGCTTGTGTTTGTGTAGTCTCAGATGAAGATGAAGTCTGCGGGCGTCGTGGACGGAGGCTTATTCACAGAAAGTTATTGTAACATCTGCAATGCCCAGCTCATCTCTGAGTCCCAGCGCACCGCTCACTACGAGGTAAGACTAGTTTTGCTAAGTTTTGGAAGCTTTTRTTATTATTATTATTTAAACAGTCACAGTCAAACTTTGTATACAGAAAGAAAAAAATGTTGGTACCGGTAGCGCTTTTACATGCAGATTCATGCACTGTACTTAGCCTTATTTGTATCAATTTGTGCTTGTGCTGTTGAAGACAGCACTCATCCATTATACATAGACTTCCAGCAGCATGGTAATGCTAGTCACTTGCACATAAGCACACAAGCACACACATTTACTCTTCGTCTACCTTTCAGCAGATTTGCAGGGATGTATAATGAATGACCATTAAATAATCAGCCTTTGAATTAGATAAATTGAATCTATATGCAAACGCACATGTTTGCACAAGGCTACAAGTGTGCGCTCGAAAGTGCATCGAGGGCATCTTTGATTATAAGATACAATTGGGATTAACGAGGAGGCTAACAAGGACAAGTGCCAAAGACTGTAACAGTGTGTGTGTGTGTGTCTGTGCACATGTGTGTTCGCCACTTTCATTTGACAGTAATCTATTTGTGTCCCTCATCCTTAAAGTTTGACAACAACACACCGCCTTGAGTGGAGCAGGCAAACAGGCGAGATGAGTCACACAGCATGTTGTCAAAGTCAGCCTTTACAAAAGATCTCTGCAGAGGTCAGTGGATCAAGAAGACAGAGCAAAAGAAAAAAAATAAAATCACTTGAAAGCAGATAACTTGTGCATGGTATGTTCTGTTGGCAAAATCTGGCAGTTTCTTGCCACACAGTTCACACAAATTTAAAAGGATGTCTTTTATTTTTCCAACTAAAATAGCTTAATTATTTATGTAACATCCCCAGATATGATTGTAAAGTATGCTAAAAAAGTATTTTTAACAATGAACAGCTTTACTGTTTCAATTTTTCAATCAATTTAAGCTCAGTTAGAAAGGTCTGATGAAGAGTTGTTACAATAAATCAATAGCTGACTGCTGGTCAGTTCAACAGTATGGAATACTTTTTTTAGTTGCTTTTTAAGAGACAGAAATGTGCAAAGGCAGATCAAACCAGGGTGTGTGTCCTTCCACTCTTATCTCCTCTTACCAGCTCCATCATGGGCGGTGTCTAAATTCAGGGGCTGCATCCTTCGAAGGCCCAATTTGAAGGCCGATTACATCAGAGTGATGCGCCGAAGACTGTCCAAATTCAAAGGCTCCTCTAATTGCGGCCCACCAATGCGTCCTTCTTTTCCTCCAATTTGAGAGACAAGTCTGGAGTATCCTTCTCAGCCCTTTCTGTCCCAAGATGCATTGTGGGCTTACCGGGAGAATTTGTTGCTTGTAATGGCAGACAAAGCGAGAGATAGCAAGGACCTGGCCCAGGTAGGTTGAGTCCTCCGAAGGAAGCAGCCCTTAAATTTGGACACAGCCATGGAATGTTTTGATCGCAGTTCTGAAATTTCATCCCATAATAGTAATTTCTCTTAGTGGTTTAACATCTTTTAAATATTTTCTTAATGGTGGCGATCAGACTCTGTATCCTGTTGTGTCCTGCAGGCACATAAGCCCCACAGAGTGACATGACTTCTGTTATATACAGTAGTTGGACTCTGCTCTGTTTGTCTCCTCCAACTTGATTTCACACACAAGAAAGGAAAAAAAAAGCAACACGTATAAACCATTAGAGTGGTGTTAGCGCTGAGGGTCAGTGCAAGGTAACCATAGTGACACAAGGTCCTGCTTTTAGACCGTATCCCAGAGCCATCAAGTACATGGCCATTTGTATACCTATAAACACAAGCAGACTCTGAGGCACTCACAAACGCACACACCCACTGACAAAATGCATTAACCGGAGTCTGACAAGTGGGGAGGCATCTGAGGTTAGGGAGGAACTCTTCTATGGGGGGTCGTATGATCCATTGTAGACTTAGTGGAGCATCAGAGTTTCCCATTTGGTCTTTTTGATGTTTTTTTTTTACAAGAATCATTTAAATTTAAAATTCTGTTGTAATCTATACAACATAAGTTTTTATTATTATAACCATCTCTAGTTAATTCATAGTTCTACATATTATTATTACATATTATTACTCTTAAAGCATTTTTAGTAAAAATTGAATCCTGAGCACTGAATGACTGATAGAATTTGCAAAAAGAAGCTGCAACTGAGTTGTTAAAGCTAAAGCAAGCAGAAGACAAAAGCTAAAAGAATCCAAAAAGGCACAATCTAGCTTAATTAAAAGTAATAGCAGTATGTGGCAAAATGATAAACTAAACAAAATGCTAGCCTAAAGCTAAAAATCGCAAGAGATTAGCTTAAAGCTAAAGGTAGAAAATGAAGCTAAATAGCAGCAGAAGTTTGGCTATATACTAAAAAGTGACAAAAGCTAGATTAAAGTAGCAAAGGTCTAGTTGGAAACTAAAAGTAGAAAAAAAACTAATCTAAAATTAGCTAAATTAAGCTAAAAACTTAAAGTAGCAGAATAGCAGCTAAAACCTTAAAGTAGTGTATAAAGGTAAATATAAAGCATGTGCTCAAGCTAATTTCAAAAAGAAGAACATTTTGGAAGCAGTTAATGAAATATCAATAGGAAAGGTATTTGTAAAGAATGTTAAACTTTTAAAAAAGTATAGAAATTGCAATTTTCACAATGAACTGAATAGTTTGGTATATAAATGGCTAAAAAAGCACTAATGATGCAATTGCAGCTTGACTGGAAAAAATAGTGTGAATGCTGAATTAATTTTGTGTTGTTTATTTTACATGCACATCTAACGTCAAGTTAACAATCCTTCAAATAATTTATAGATAATATTTTTTTATTTAGCAAGGAAGTGAAACCCTCAAATAAAATAGTACATTAGAAATAAAATAGATATTTTTCCTCAGAGCTGTCTGAGCACATAAACATTTAAAGATTACTCCCTCTGCAGATTGTCCAGTTATTTTCATTGCTCTGCMTTAAAGTGACAGTTAACAGCTTCAAGGACAGCTCACTGTCCTTTCACATAAACATTTTTCTGTTTATTATATCTCACAACATTTATGTTTAAAGCAGCAGAACACAGAAGGCCACTTGAGTGGGAGGAAATATGGGAGATTTCTTTATAAAACTACAACTAACAGTTAACGCTACATTTATATATAGTGACATCGTTGTATCCATTTAATAATTGATCTCATTAAAATTCAATTTTGTGCTGTATATTTTTGGCTAAGACAGTGTTGTTTGAAAAATTATTATCACTGGTACCATCTAAAATATTTACACACTTTCCTTGGTAATTTAAAGTCTAAATGTTTGCAAATGCCTTGTGATAGACTTGTGACACATCCATAGTGTAAACCGCGTCCCCCACCTCTCACACAGTGACTGCTGGAGATTGGCACCAGCTCCCCGTGCCCCAGAAAAGAGAAGCAAGTTAAAAAAAATGGAAGGATGTTTGCAAATAAAGAAAAGATATTTCTACTCCCCCTCCATCTTAATCTGGGCTGCAGAAAGCCGAAGTCTGTCTAAGCAATTAGTCACCTCCCCAGGGGCAAAATGTCTGTTAGCATTACCAGCTGTAACAGAAATAAAAACACAGGGAGTGCTGCCAAGGTGGAGTGGCAGTCATTGATTTTTATCTGTTCCTTTACCGTTTTATTTTACTTGTTGGCTTCCTTGTTAAAACTAAGTTCATTTTGTTTTCTAAGAGTCTGTCATTTACCGTGCTTTCGTTTCTTTCAGAGTAAGAAACACGCCAACAAGGTCCGTCTATTCTACATGCTTCACCCTGAAGATGGAGGACCACCGTCCAAAAGACTGAGACCAGATAATCCAGTATGCTCACACTGAATGCATGTGTCTGTTTTATTTTCTAAACACTTAAATTCTTACAATAAAAGAAATGTTTGGTGGCAGTGAGGTTGGGTATTTTAAGAATAACATTTGCCCTTTATGTTTCGATGACAAAAACCTAAACTGACTACTTTGACTACTTTTGCCGAGCTTGTCCACTTTCAGCTTTGACTTCATTTATTTTTTTATAGATATGTTAATCCAAATATTTGTTTAGTCTGCTGTGTGCATTTGTTTACTAGAATTTACTCATGAGAGGGTGTTGCCTTTTCCATCTGTCTGGTAAGATTTGGTACAAGCAGATGCAGTTAAGTAGCTTCACATCTGAATATTGCCAGCTATTGTTAAGGAGGTCACTGCAGTACAAATGTTGGTGCCTGTTTGTATAAGCTGTAGAAATGCCATTTTCTGTCCAGGGACATTTCTGAGTTTTGCTCCTTCAGCAAATGCAAAAGTTTTTATATTTGCATTTGCATTATTGAACTTCAATGTGACGTACTTACAACACATATTCTGCCACCGTCGGTGTGTGTCTGTGTGACGATTGTGTGTGCATGTGTTTCCAGTTGAATGTGAAATAGTCTGTTGTGAACTGTGCAGAGAGACTTACAATTGTTCACTGCGAGCCAATTTATCTGGCTTGTCCCATGTGTCGCGAAACAGAAACACGCACAAAGAAATCAGACAGTACCCTCTTTGGAGACAGAGCTGGTGAGGGAAAAAAAAGCCTATAAAATTAACTGGCAGAGGAGAAACATGGTGGAAGGTTTTTTAAAAAAAAAAAAACAGCAGCATCACAGCCAAGAACTTTGTCCACAGTGGAAGATCGGTCACCTTGGAAAGGCTGATGGACTTCTTTCTACTCACCGGACAATTACAACATTCCCCAGCTTTTATGTCAACGGGCAGTAACTAAAAAAAAAACCTCTGAATGTGTCTAATTTAATGATTTATAGACTGTGCGATGTATATATGAGAGGAGAGAAAATCTGCCAATCCTGTCAGCATTTACTGTATACTGGCAAGCAGTCACCATAGAAAACATATGAGTTACTTCAGTCTCCATGATGAAATCCAATCATAAATTTCCACCTGGAGACAAAACAACAATTAAACTCACAGCTCTGAATCCTACACAGCAATAACTTGCTTTCATAATATTGTAAAAATATTTATGACTGATTATTGATCAGGCTSTTGTATTGCATTACCAGAATAATGCATCAACTGAACAAAGCAAATGTATGAAGTCCATCTTGTGACATTGAATAAAATAAATGAATGCCTGACCACAAGATAGTTAATGAATAGTCACATGATTTTTTTTTATCCAGTGTCACCAGATAGGCTTCATACAAAAGAATAGTGACAATTAAAATAATCCTTGGGCTGCTACCTTATCGTGGTGGAGGGGTTTGAGTGTCCCAATGATCCTAGGAGCTATGCTGTCTGGGGC